ATAAAAAAATTGCACCATCTGCAGCTGAAAGAACAAGTCATGTAACTGGACAGCTATTTTGAAAAACGATATGATCCTCTCTTCGTTTTTTTTTGGGGGGGCGGAGGGTTTAATAATTTAATTAACAACTATATTTACCTTTTCTTTTTTAAGTATACGATAGAGGATGGAAAGGGGATAGGTGTCTATTAGCTGTTCCCTAATGAAGAGGATACACACAATTACACATAGACACACACACACAAGGTCACACACACACACACACACACACACACACACACACACACACACACACACACACACACGGTCACACCCACTCTCTCTCTCTCTCAAACACACACACACACACACACACACACACACACACATCATCATCATCATCACACACACATATCATCATCATCATCACACACACATATCATCATCATCATCATCACACACACACACACTTCCACATGCATATTACACACATATGCCTACGTCCTGATATGAGGCCTGATGAGGTACTGTCACAAGTACCTCGGGAAATTCTTTGAAACGGTGTGCCACGGCCATTGTGTGGAGTAGTGTACAGCGAACATGACCATATACAGTAGCAAGCATGACAATACACACACACACACACACACACACACACACGCACGGACACACACACATACACGCGCACACACACATCCTCCTGATGAGTCGTTGATCTTGCACAGTTATAGCTTAGATGACACCACGCGCGCGTGCAAACAGACACACACTCACACCCAATCCACACACAATCCACACACAACCTCCTCATGAGTCGGTCAAAGTCCGCCGAATCAGTCTGTTCGGCACAGTCATGCATTTTTTGAGTGTATAACGAATATGACAACACTCACACACACACACACACACACACACACACACACACACACACAGCTCACACACACTCACACAAACATACACAGACACACACACACACACACACACAGAGCTCACACAAACATACACACGGACGCACACGCACACATACTCACACACACTGTCACACACACTGTCACACACGCACCGACACTGTCAGGCGACTGACGAAAACTTTTTTTCGTCAGTCGTACTCCTTTTTCCCTGTTGTTGTCCTTTTCTGCTCCTGTCTTTTCTCATAGTTTCCTCTCTCTTTTACTACAGTAACTGCTTTTCCTCTCGTTTATAGGCTGGACAATGGTCACAGTAAATCCTCTTGCCTCTCTCGATCGAAGAGAAAAGAGAGGGGGGGAGGGGGGAGAGGGGAGGGGGGAGGGATTTCAAAGTGATCAAACAGCACGTACGATTCCCTCGAGCAAACCACTCCCTCTCCAACTCGCATGGTCTTTTTTTTTTTTTTTTTTTTTTTTTMCCCAATCGCGCATTGTCATCAACCTCCTTTTTTTTTTCTCGCTGATGACCAGCCGCGCGAGGGTGTATCGAGGTATCGAGAGGTGGCCGGAAAAAAAAAAAAAAAACAGGAGGGGGCTGCAATTTGCAACCCCTGCTCGTTTTTTTTTTTTTTTTTTTTTTTTTTTTTTTTTAAAAACTCTTCTTTTTTATAAAAGGAAAATTTTAAAAAAAAAAATTTTTTTTTTTTTTTTTTTTTTTTTTTTTTTTTTTTTTTTTTTTTTTTTTTTTTTTTACGCCGAGGTTATCAGGGAATGGGAAGAAAAGAGAGGAAAAAAAAAGGGGGAAATGCGAAAATACTAAAATAGGTCTGTGAGTGAGAGACGCGTGCCAGTTACCCAGAGAGGAGTCTGGTCTTTTTTTTTCTTTTTTCTTTTTTTCTTTTTGAGAGGAGGCTGATCTGGCACGAGCCAAGCCGTCTGGTTGTGACAAGAGTGAGGGGCAGGGTCCCACTCGCAAAGAGGGTTGGATTGAAAACGTGAATGTGGACGTGTTTGTGGAGAGGTGCATAAAATCTCGATTGCCATGCATTTCTGCATCTATGCATAAAACGCATCCAGATTCAGGCACCTAATCCAATCCTCTTGCTACCGGTAGTGGGACATCGCCCTAGAAATTGTGGCGGCGGGTCACCGTTTCTCTCTCCTTTTCTCACACTTGGTAGCAAAGAGGATTGGATTGAACGTCTGAATCTGGACGTGTTTGTGTAGAGGTGCAAAAAACTGCGAGTCGGACTTGGTCTGCTTTTTTTCTGCATCTGTGCATAAAACACATCCAGATTCAGGCACCTAATCCAATCGTCTTTGGTAGTGGGACATTGCCCTAGAAATTGTGGCGGTAAGTCACCCTTTCTCTACGGACCCCTCTCCCCGTTCTCCCCTGAGCCCGATCCCGATCCTTTTTCTAAATTGGGATCGGGAGAAGGGAGAGAAAAGGGGTGTTGTGTGAGTAGGTCCTTCTTAGGGGAGAGAGAGATCACCTCTATGGGGTCCTGGCTCTCTCTGTCTAAGGCTCCTTTGGCTTTGTTCTGGATTGATGGAGTACGAGGGAGAAGGTGGAAGAGAAAAAATGTGACGGGGGGGGGAAAAAAAAAAGGCAAAAAAAAAAAAAGAAAGAATTAAAAAAGAAAAAGAAAGGAAGAAGGACCATACGAGCACGGAAAGTCTGTGTTATATAAAAAAAAAAAAAAAAAAAAAGTCTGTGTTAGATTCTCTACTGGACAGTGATCTCCGAAGAAAGAAGTCTGAAAATCTAAAGCCCTAGCTAAGGGCCTTTTGGCAAGCTCAAGTGTAGTATCCGTTCTGATTAGTTTAATTAAAAAAATAAAAAAAATCCAACCGCCTTCAGGATAATGCACAATTATTTAGTAATGGAAAACCAATCGGGATCGCAACCAGGGAAACGAGCAATCACGTAACAGTCTTTGGTTGATCCTCCTCCCATACTCTCCCTCTTCGTCCCGCACTCTTCTCCTCCTCCTCCTCCTAGTGTGCTGCTACTCCTGCACCTCCTCCTCCTCCTACTGCTACTACTACTACTACTACTACACCTCCTCCTACTACGACTACTACTATATTTCTCCTCCTCCTACCACTACTACTGCTACGACAATGATGACGACTACTACTGCTGCTAATACTGTACGTTTCCTCCTCCTCCTCCTGCTGCTGCTGTCACAGTGGTGGTGGTGGTGGTGGCTGCTGTGGCTGTGGCTGCAGCCGCTGCTCCTGCTGCTCCTACTCCTGCTGCTGCTGATGCTGCAGCTGCTGGTACTGTGGCTGTGGCTGCAGTGGCGCTCCTGCCGCTGCTGCCACTCCGCTCCCGCTGCTGATGCCGCTGCTGCTACCGCTGCTGCTGCTGCTGCCACTGCTGCTGCTGCTGCCACTGCTTCTCTTGCTCCTCCTCCTCCTGCAACTGCTGCTCCTGCTCCTGCAGCTCCTGCTCCTGCTGCTCGTGCTCCTGCTGCTCCTGCCACTGCTCCTCTTGCTCCTCCTGCTCCTGCTACTGATGCTGCTCCTGCTCCTGCTGCTCCTGCTCTTCCTGCTCCTGCTCCTGCTGCTTGTGCTCCTGCTGCTCCTGCTCTTGCTCCTTCCGCTGCTGCTGCTCCTGCTGTCACCGCCAGCGCCGCCGCCACTGCCACTACTGCTGCTGCTGCTGCCGTTGCTGCCGCCGCCGCTGTTGCTGCCGTGGCTGCTGCTGCTGCTGTTGAGGCAGCTGCTGCGGCGACTGCTACTGGGGCGCCTCCGCTGCTGCCACTGCTGCCACTGTTGCCGTTCCACCGCTGCTGCTGCTGGCGCTGCCACTGCTGCCACTGCTGGCGCTGCCACCACTGCCGCTGCCACCGCTGCTGCCGCTGCCGCCGCTGCCGCTTCCGCTGCTGCTGCTGCCGCTGTCCTGCCGCTCCTGCTCTTGCTCCTGCTGCTCCTGCTCCTTCCGCTGCTCCTGCTGCTGCTACTGCTCCTGCTGACACCGCCGCGGCCACTGCCACTGCCATTGCCGCCACCGCCGCGGCCACTGCCATTGCCATTGCCGCCACCGCCGCTGTTGCTGCCGTGGCTGCTGCTGCTGCTGTTGAGGCAGCTGCTGCGGCGACTGCTGCTGGTCCACCACCGCTGCTGCTGCTGCTGCTGTTGCTGCCGCTGCCACTGCCACTGCCACTGCTGCCGCTGCCACCGCTGCCACCGCTGCCACTGCTGCTGCTGCCACCGCTGTCGTTGTTGCCGCTGCTGTTGCCGCTGCCGCCGCTGCCGCTGCCGCCGCTGCCGCTGCCGCCGCTGCCGTTGCCGTTGCCGCCGCTGCTGCTGCTGCCGCCGCTGCCGTTGCCGTTGCCGCCGCTGCTGCTACTGCCGCTGCTGCTGCTGCCGCTGCTGCTGCTGCTGCCACTGCCGCTGCCGCTGCCGCTGCCGCTGCCGCCACTGCCGATGTCGATGTCGCTGCCGCTGCCGCTGCCGCTGCCGCTGCTGCCGCTGCTGCCACTGCTGCCGCTGTTGATGTTGCCACTGCCGCCGCTGCTGCCTCTGCTGCCTCTGCCTCTGCTGCCTCTGCTGCTGCCTCCGCTGCCTCTGCCGCCGCTGCCGCTCCCGCTCCCGCTCTCGCTCCCACTCTCGCTCCCGCTCCCGCTCCCGCTCCCGCTCCCGCTCCCGCTGCAGCCGCTCCCGCTGCAGCCGCTCCCGCTGCGGCTGCCCTCGCTGCGGCTGCCCCCGCTGCGGCCGCGCCCGGCCGCTGCCGCGCCCGCTGCTGCCGCGTCCGCTGCCGCTGCTGCTGCCGCTGCCGCTGCTGCCGCTCCTGCTGCTGCCGCTCCCTCTGCTGCCGCTCCCGCTGCTGCCGCTCCCCCTGCCGCCGCTCTGCCTGCCGCTGCTGCTGCTGCGGCCGCTGCTGCCGCTCCCGCTCCCGCTCCTGCGGCTGCCGCTCCCGCTCCCGCGGCTGCAGCTCCCGCTGTTGCCGCCGCGGCCTCCGCCACTGCCGCCGTTGCCGTCGCTGTCGCCGCCGCCGCCGCTGCCGCTACTGCTGCTGCCGCTACCATTGCTGCCGCTGCCAGTGCTGCCGCTGCTAGTGCTGCCGCTGCCAGTGCTGCCGCTGCGGCTGCCGCTGCCACCGCGGCCGCTGCGGCTGCCGCTGCCACTGCCGTGGCTGCTGCTGCCACCGGTGGCGTCGCCTCTGCCGCCGCTGCCACCACTGCAGCCGCTGTAGCCGCGGGTTGCTGCTGCTGGTTGCTGCTGCCGATTGCTGCCGATGCTGCTGCTGCTGGCTTCCACTGCTGCTGTTGCTTGCTGCCACTGTGGCCGCCGCCGACGTTGCCGCCTGAGCCCGCCTCTGCCCGCTCCCCCACGGCCGTTGCCTCCCCCTCCCTCGCTGCCACCGCTGCCACCGCTGCCTCCTCCCCCACCGCCGGTGCCCCTCCCCCGTTGCCGCCGCCCCCTCCCCACCCGCCGTCGCCGCCACCGCATCAGCCGCTGTCGGTCCTGCTGCTGCTGCTGCTGGCACCAGGTCTCTGCCTTGCACTTTGATTAGTGATGTTTATATGTTGGGGCGCATTGAGGTTGATTTGGAGGATTTCTGATAACACAAGCTTGGGCCTTGCCAGCTTTGGTTTCGTGAATTGATTGGCTCTGGTTGTTTCAAGTTGGACCTGTACTAGTGGTTAGGATCGGGGGGCTAGGGTCGGGCCTTCACTAGCTCCTAGGGTAGGGCCTGTACTGGCAGCCTAGCAGGCTAGCCATGTTGGTCGTGGATGTGTTTTTTCTTTCCCCGTTTCTGTGCTCTCTATTTGCATATGGTCTCATTTGGGACATGCATTGAGTTCTTTGTTACCCTGGGGTCGAGGTCCCACTAGCCAAGAAGATTGTGTTATGATTCCAGACTCAGAGACTCTGAGTCAGTACTAAGTTTTTCAATGGTAGCTCATGGCATGATTCCAGACTCAGTACTAAGTTTTTCAATGGCAGTTCATGGCAACTGAAATGTAAGATATTGGAAAAGGAATAAGACAAGGGAAGGTAAAGAATTGGCCCGGAGTGAAGGGCGAAGAACATGATAAATACAAGCTGATCCCAAAGTCTTCTTTCACTGAGAAACAATTGAGAATGAACGATTCGGAAGAAGAACTTGATAAATACATGGTGATCCCGAAGTGTCCTCTCCCTCATCCCACCTCCATCACTGCTCCTTCATCCCACCTCCATCAATGCTCCCTCATCGCCTCCACCATCACCTTCTCTTCTCTTCTCTTCTCTATCTCTATACAATTAAAAACAGCAAAGGGCCCCAAGTGACGCTTCCCAGCGGGCCGCGCGGCAGGCCCACAGAGTGGCCCGAGTGAGGTACTATGCGTGGCACTGGGAATACGCAAATTCAAAAAACCGTGCGCGACTCTTGGAAGGGGCCCAGGGGTGGCCGAACGAAGTCCGTTTTTTTTTTATCCCCCACCTTTTGGGCAGTTGTTTTGCGTGCTTCCGTTCAGGCACCGTTTAGAGAGTGGGAGGAGGAGGTCTTGCGAGGGGGGAGGAGGAGGTTGTACAAGCAGGAGGAGGATGTCGGAAAAGGTAGAAGAGGAGGTTGCTAGGGGGAGGAGGATATCACGCAAGGGGCCACTGTTTGGAAAGTGGAAGGAGGTGGTCACGTGGGGGGGAGGAGGAGGTTGTGTAAGCGGGAGGAGGAGGCCGGAAGAGAGGTTGGAGGAGGTCGCACGAGAGGAAGG